GCCGGCGGCGGGCTCGTCGCGTGCCTGGGCCCTGCGCCTGCGAGCCACGCTACGCCCCGTGGGGGCGCGTGTTTTCGGGAAAGGGAGCACAAGCAGCGAGGCCTGCAGTGAGCAGGTTGATGTGGGGAGGAGGGGAATGTAACTTCTCAAAACAATCGAACTCCTTCAAGTAAGAAACTTGTGTCAATGTGTTTGGTTCGCGTTTGTAGCCGGTACATACAGTAAATCCTCATTTAACGCTATAGATGCGTCTCTGAAAATGTTTGTGCTAAGCGAAAACGGGCTATGCGGGGTCAATTTTCCCATTCAAAAAAATGGAAAAGGTGGGGGTTGCGTTTCAGGTGGTGGTGGCCAGGTCAATTTTGTGTTGGTGTCGGGTCGTCAATGTCAACATGAAATATCTAGCAACACAAGATAACTAGCAACACAAATTGCTGTGGTTTGTTAAAACAAAGATAAACGTGAGTGAGCGGAGGAGCAGCTTGACCATGTGTATTCATCTGCTCATGTGTATTACCACTTTTCACCAACTTATACTGCTGTGCGAAGTAGTCCACCTCTTGATTATTTTTGTGTTATTTCGGGGATGGTCGTGTTATTCGAAAAACGTTCCCTAAAAAAAATCGTGCAATTCCGAAAATGTGTTAAGCAGGCAGTGTTAAATGAGTAATGACTATACATAAATGGAACCAAGAAGTTGAGAAACATGCTCTTTGTCACTGTGCTTGTATGTTTCAGCCTGTCCTCTGTGCTTTTTTTCACAGTCTTATGAACATTTTGTCTGTCAGCTCTTATGGGTACTCGTGGGGGAGTTTTGTACTACCTGCATAATGTAAAGTTTGTGCATAATTGTCTGCAGAATTTCATTTTTCCCTGGAGACTTGGTGCTGCATAGCTGCTGGCTGCCACTAGTGGCCACTGAATCAGGCAGAAAGCCCAGTTTACCACTTTGCAGTGTGCCTGTGTTGGTGGTGTGTGGGCCACAGTGAGAAGAGTACCCAATCTTGTCGGGATGGAGGCCCTGCAATTATTTACGTTCTGGCTACTGCATTCTTTGTCTTTCTGGGGCTGGAGCAAGAACAGGAGATCTAGCTGTGCTGGTTCTCTGAGGATGAGAAGTGGGCAGGACCTTGATTTCTTGGTGGCACAGTAATGAAACTGCATGAAGTCAAGCCTATGGCTGAATTCTGATGGCAGAGGGATGTGGGTGTCTGGCTCTGGGGAGATCTGTGTATGGCTGGGGAAGACTTGTGG